GCTTCTGTCTGTCTGTCTGTCTGTCTGTCTGTCTGTCTGTCTGTCTGTCTGTCTGTCTGTCTGTCTGTCTGTCTGTCTGTCTGTCTGCTGTTAGATGTTCAGGCTAGATCTACTATCAACGTGCTTGTTTCGGTGTTTAAGTTCTCAACATCTCTTCTAATGGAATCATTTATTTTTTAAAGGGAAAAGTACATTTTGACCCCAATTTCTTTATAGAAGGTGTTAAAAGTGTCATTCTCCATGACATCCCAACGACCCAAATGTGGCGCCAATCAGAGCACGTGTACGCAATAGATCAAATAAGTTCCGAACTGAGAGTTCAAGTATACTTGTACCCATTTTCTAAACCAATTTCAATATCAATTACTCCTCCTCCTGTCTCGCCGTGCTTCTTCAATGGTTACCAAAGTGACCAACATACAAAATTAGGCAGACATCTGCCCTTCAAATCTGAACTGGACCAACATAATAATATAATCCTATTGTTTGTCCATCGAAGAAAACATCTTCATTTCCTCAGCAAAGAACAATTTAAGTGCTTTGACGTTTGTTTCGACTTATTTTTCTGTGCCAAATAGTTTGATAAACTTCACAAAAATTGCTTGACGAAAAATAACAAAATTATAATAATTCAGTACCGGTACCAATAGTGATAATAATAATAATTATTAACAGGGGTAATAGCACTTCCACTTTGGATCTATCTTATCAACAACTCGTACTCGTATGAGCCTTGGCCAAATGAACGAGAAATAAAAAAAAAATTATCTAACTGATTAAAGTTTGTATTTGAAAACCCTTGTCGATCAACCACACACGAACAAATCCCATCACCTTAATCACAAGAAGATTAAAACTAGATTACTTAAATAATCAAAACCTGGACTATGAGTATGAGCAATGCTATCCCACTCCTTCGTACCCAGTCACTGATTTTTTAAAAGCCAGACACTCCCCAAATAAGAAATCTCCTTCTTATCTACGCGAGATCCTAAATGGATTAAAGCGTTAGGGTCTGCGAGCTTTGAAGTACGCTGCCTAAATTATTAAACCTCTGGCTCATAGTTCACACTTTGAAACGCCCTTGAACTCTTGCAATCCCATCCCCGTAGATTCTAAGGTCCTGAAATTGATTGAAGGAGTTAACGGCTAGACGGGGGAGAACAAAAGGATCTTCTAGGGGAGACTATCGATTTTTCCCCGAAAGCCACTTCAGAGATCGGCCCCTGAAGGGATGCCATTCCAAGTCCCAAGGGCTTTTTTCCCGGAAGACGTTTTGTGCAAAGGTTAACCAGAGGGGCGACCCCC